TATTAAAAATATGTTAAATATTTATTTATTTTTATTAAAATGAAATATTATTTGATGTTTATTAGTTATGAGAAAAATGTATTTTATTATCAAATAATATAGTTACAAATACAACTCAGTATGAAGTGTAATTAAATTTAAATTAAACATGTTTTAACTGAATTCTATGCTTGTTTTCATATAGACTCCTGGACGACTAAAACTAACAGATCAACATTTGATTTTCAAAAATCAAAAAACAGGCAAAGTAGAGCAAATTTCAGCAACTGATATGGATATGGTAAATTATCAAAAATTTATTGGTACCTGGGGTCTTAGAATATTTCTTAAAAATGGGACTTTACACAGATTTCGTGGTTTTAAAGAAGGAGTAAGTAAAAGCTTTCAAATGAAATCTATTTTTTTAGCTTTTGTATTACAAAAATTTACATGTCATGTCTTTTAGGATCAAGAAAAAATTGCAAAATTCTTTGCACAAAATTATAAGAAAGATATGTTGGAAAAGGAACTTAGTCTGAAAGGCTGGAATTGGGGTACAGCTAGGTTTAATGGTTCTGTATTAAGTTTTGATGTTGGACATCATACTGCCTTTGAAATTCCACTGTATGATGTTTCTCAATGCAATACTGGAAAGAATGAAGTCACATTGGAATTTCATCAGGTAAATTATTAGATGTAGAGTTTATTTAATACTAATGAAGTTTCAGTTTTTAACATTAAAATATTTATGAATTTTTAGAATGATGATGCTCCTGTAAGTTTAATGGAAATGAGATTTCATATTCCTGTTAGTGACAGTGTAGATCAAGATCCTGTGGAAGCATTTCACCAACAAGTCATGGAAAAAGCTTCAGTTATTAGTGTCAGTGGAGATGCTATTGCTATATTTAGGGAGATTCAATGTCTTACACCTCGGTATATATTTATATTTAATGTTCGCATATTTGAAGCTTAATTTTAATAAATATTTTTTAAAAAAGTAGCAATTATGAATGGAAAATATACGTTGCCATAATTTATTTTTTTCTTTTTCAGAGGTCGTTACGACATAAAAATATTTCAGTCGTTTTTTCAGTTACATGGTAAAACTTTTGATTATAAAATTCCAATGTCAACTGTTTTAAGGCTATTTCTTTTACCACATAAGGACAACAGGCAAATGTACTTTGTGGTAATCTTTTCAGAAATCATTTTTATTTTTTTCTAATAATTGCTTTTTGAAACGACCATCGTTTTCTATATTTTTATTTTATTGCTATTGTTAATATTTTGGTAGGTCAGTTTAGATCCACCAATCAAACAAGGTCAAACTCGATATCACTATCTAGTTCTGTTGTTCAATCAAGAAGAAGAAACATCAATTGAATTGCCTTTCTCTGAGTATGCATCAAAATCCTTTTAATTAGTTTGGTAACATCAATCTTAATAAAATAGGCATATAATGTTGAATGAAATACTTATTACTATTACAGAAAAGAATTGAAAGAAAAGTATGAGGATAAATTACCAAAAGAATTATCTGGACCAACTTATGAAGTTTTAGGAAAAGTAATGAAAGTTATAATTAACCGAAAACTTACTGGACCTGGGAATTTCCTTAGGTAAGTTGTTCTTTCAAAGCAGCTGCTGGTTATTTATATCCTCTTGAAAGAGGTTTCATTTATGTGTACAAACCACCGATACATATACGTTTTGAAGAAATAGCCTCAGTTAATTTTGCTCGCGGTGGAGGTTCCACTAGATCATTCGATTTCGAAATTGAATTGACTAGTGGCGTGGTTCACACATTTAGTAGTATTGAAAAAGAAGAATATGGAAAAATATTTG